GTCAATGTCGAGGATAACTACCAAATGAATAGAGGTGTCTATATCCCATACCAGGAGAGAGGAAAATGAGTATGACTGGAACAAAAATTAAAACCTCATCCAATGAAAAGAGGCAAGAAAAAAGTGAATCAGATACCACCCAAATCAGGACAGAATAATAATACAAAATTAGGAGGACAGCAAGTCCAAATACATCAGTATTAAGTGAAATTGTCAATTAAAGTAAACTTTAGTCCGGAGAGGCATCCAATGCATAAAGACACAGGATTAGAAGTTGGAAAATCAGTATGCAAGTGTACTGTGTAGTAGTATGGTGACCAGCAGGGGTGCAGTCACCAGGTGGGTACATCGATTCTCAGTTTCCTGTATGTGATCGTCACTTCACACCATGCAAAAGGAAATATGCAGAATTACAGGGATAATGTGACAGAAAATTTCATAATGCTCTCAACTGTGTTAAGACTCAAAAGGCCCCAAATAGGAAAGACACAGAATAAAATAACATTTTTGATCAAAAGAGCATATATAAATCTTAGCATTAACAATTAGAGAATACAGATTCTCCCTCCCTCTTCCATTGTCCTTACTTCTTTGCAAAAATGGATCAAGCATAAGGCCATAGAGTATCAGAAAATTTCAAACAATCAGTAACTTGTAAGCTGCTTTCTCTAACTACCACAAAATTAATGCAAAAGTTGATATGTTTAATTAAAAACCCATTCATTTGGAAATGAAGTCAAAAGAATGCTTTCTTAATAACCAACAAAGGAAAGAGGAATCATAACAAAATGTTGTTACTTGGGATTGAATCATACTGAAAACTAGCTCTCAAAGCCTAGAGGTGTAGGTGAAGCAGCACTTAGGGTATAGCTTAGGATAGCTGTAAATGCAAGCATTGGGCAATGAACCAACATCCAAATTCATAACAATAAAGGTAAAGATATAGAACAAGTGGCACTGAGGTAAGAGCAGAAACCATGGACTTGAAATCAAGGATGACCCAGAAGATGACAGAGCCTGACTGTCCTTCCTGTGCAAGGTGGAGGAGAGGACATGTGTCCCCTTCCGCCCCTCTCCAGGACCTCATTAAAATGTTAGTGAGGGAATTGCCCAAAGCAAGAGAAAAATGGGACAAAATCTGTAATGAATATGAGAATTGCACAGAGCTGTGGTAGATGAAGCAGGAGGATGTGGCACCTGCCACCTGGAGCCCAGGGTGGAGACCATGGCAGCTGGTCCTGTGACTCAGATCAGCACAGAGCATATAGTGTAGATGAAAGCAATGCCACAGAGGGCAGGAGAAGCCCTCTGGGTCACACACTCAAGCAAGGTCATTCAAAAGTGGCCAGAAGCCAGAAGAGGAAGCAAGATGGCGACAGTGGTGCATGTTTCCAGGAATTGGAGAATTTATCTCACACACCCACCATCTGAATGGCTAGTTTACAGATACTTCAGAAAAAAATGGCAGAGGAAACCAAGGAAGTGGCTCACTGGAGATGAGAAAAACTCAATGGCTCAAGAATGGATAGAAAGAAATCCTCGCCTGGCATCAGTCTGGAGCATTCCATCCCAGTTACAGTAGACATAAAGGGTTCATGGCGATGACATCTCATCTCTGTGGCCAAGGGCAATGCTGTGAAGAGGGAGAGGGAGAAGAAGGTTGTGCAGAAACTACAGGAAAATGCACAAGCAGAAAAGTGTGCAAGGGTTCCACGGGTCCAGATCCAAAGCAGAACAGCTGTTCTCATTACTTAGAGCAGTGGTGAGAAAAAGTGGTAAGAAAAAGAGTTTGAGAACATTTTTCTTGCTCTGGGGTAGGTGTTCTGAGTTTGGAAACTGGATAGAGGTGACAGTGTTCATCACCACAGTAGCAAAGCAGTCACAATGTTCCTAGAAGTTCCTAGAATTGTGGTCACACGTTTATAATAATTTAACTTTGGAGTGTGCATATAGATCCAACACAGTTAGACACAGATGTTAAAGGTCCTGACAAAATTGTGATCATCATCATCATCACGTTTTGGCCAGGAAGCAGTGGGCTTTTCCCGTATGCTGAGACCTGCACCAACGTCTTTGCAGGGTTGTCCTGTTTCATTCTCACGGTAATTTTTAGGCAGGCACTGACGTCACCTATTGTGTAGAGGAGAGGTTGAGCCACTGGGAACTTTGGATCTTGGCCCAGCTGGCTGCACAGGGTTCGAGGTCTCCCTAGGGTCACCATGCTCCCAGGTGAAGGGGAGGCTTTGGAGGCTGCAGGGGGGAGCAGACAGGAAAGAGGGGTGTGAGGGTGCACAGGGAGGGACAGCAGTGACCAAGGAAGGACAATGCAGAGTAGCCAAGCCCTGAGGAGGCGAGGGTGGGTGTTCTCATGTGTGCACAAAGCCCAAACCTTCAGCTAGTAACCCCCGCACTTTCAGAACAGGGCATCCCCAGGGGAGTGGGGGAGACTCTGAAATCAAGGCCAGGAGACATGGGCTAGGGACAGTGGTCCCTGTCCAAGGGGAGAGATGGGCAGGAGACACCTCAAGCAGCAGGCTGAGGTCAGGATCCTTGTGCCAGGACCCCAGGCAAGAGGTGCAGGTTTTCACGATGACTTCTGTGTACTATTTAATTTTTAAAATACATTTCTACTATTGTAGCCAAAGAAACCACACAGGAATTATATTTGAACAATCACCCTCAGGTGGAAAGATGGGAACCTGGGGTGGGTGGCTGCAAGTGACCAGATCAGCTGAGTGGAAAACAGCCCTGGGTCCTTGGGAGCAGAACACAGAACCATCTGTGACCTGACAACTGCACCCAGAGGGATCATAGAAAGAGGGACACCCAAGGAGTCGGAGATGGCAAGGGCACCGAAGAAAAGATGAGAACAAACAAATGTGTGTGGAGAATGGTGCAGGTCACTGCAGCCTGAGAAGGAAGGAAAGAAACCTTCAGTTGCTGCCTGAGGAGGAGCTCAGCAAGCACATGCTCAGGGGGAGGATAAACACCGCATGACTCGGCTTCTTCAAGACACATCCAGAGTCAGGTCCTAGAGATGGAGAGTGAGTGATGCTGGTTGCAGATAGTGAGGATGGGAGCTGATGCTTAAGGGTACGAGGTCTCAGTCTGGGAAACAAGAGGTGCTGGAGAGGAGGGGAGCCTGATGGTGCACACAGTAGGGGTAGACTTAACATGGCTGAACTGTGCACACAAATTACTAAAAAGGTAGATTTTGTGTCATGTGTATTTAGTGCAATAAAAAGATGACTTTTCCCAAAGCAGGGCATGGCATACAAGCCTGGAACATGATCTTTTTACTTTCAGGGTTTGCATAAAGTAGTTTTTACTTCTTTCTGGAAAATGCAAGAACTTTAAAATACATTAATTCTTAAAAAAAATACATTAATTCTTATTGCCATCTTCCAATTTGGTATTCCTGTTCCTGTTTTAATTTATATGAGAGTGTGGGGATGTCATTTAGTGGTAGAGGGCTTGGCTAACATTGTGAGGTCATGAGTTTCATCCCAGCAATGCAGAAATTGCATATAAATATTGCAAATTTAAAATATTATAAATAATAATATGCACAATTTTATGCTAATAGAAACATAAAGATAGATGTTAAAGATACATATTTAAGCCCACAGTGAGTTATAATTATTGTTTATTTATTTATTTATTTTTGGTTTTTTGAGACAGGGTCTCACTATTAGTTCAGGCTGGCCTCAAACTCATGGCAATCCTTCTACTTCAGCCTCCCAAGTGCTGGCATTATAGGCATGCACCACCACTCCCCACATAATTATTGCTTTTTTTTTTTAAACCAGGGGAAAGCGTGCACGCAGTCCCCCACTACCAGAAATTATGCAGTCGAGTTTCCCACATTTGGGGAAATCGCAGGGGCCAGCACACCCGAAGTGCAATAGATAAGCCTCACCCTGGAAAACCACCTTCGTGATCATGGTATTTTCTCTGCCAGGTAAGTATCATAATTATTGTTTTACACAGTTAATCATAATCTAGATTTACCAACATATATAAAAATATGCTCAGGGAAAACCTTACCATATTTCATCAAGTGTCAGTCCCACTGATAATTGTGAGATGCGTCCTTATTTAAGAATTTGGAATTTTTTTAAAAACATGAGAAGAATGTGCATCTTAGAATTGGAGAAATACAATAGTGAAGAGAAAATAAGAGACAGCAGCCTGGTCTGCTCTCCTAAATATCTGCTAGCCTGGGCTGGTTACTAACTGGGATTATATGCACGCATCTCCCAATTCTGAGTAATGAGAGATCAGTGGCTGTTTTATGACAACAATTAGCAAATACATCCTGTGTTTGTTGTGGTGGTGGTGAGGGGTGTGTGTGTGTGTGTGTGTGTGAGTGTGGTGTGTGCATGCATATGTGTAAGGGAGTTAGAGGGACAGGGGCGGGAGAGGGAGAGAGAAAGAGAGAAACCTGCTGAATGGAAAGGGTTTCTAGTAGACTCAGAGTTCTCAAGGAATATGAATTACTGCAGGTCAAAGAGCCCACGTGCTGTGCTTGGGGTCAGCAGTGAGACTCACAGTGCATACCTGGGACCCTGCTGGGGCTGCTGTGCTCCATCCCACAGGAAGGTAAAGGCAGCTGTAAAGGCTGAGTGCTTCTTCCCCCCTGCCCCACCACATTCACAGATGCAGCTGCAGCGATGATAACTTGGCTGCTCCCTGTGCACATCACAGCCAGTCTGTTAAAGACACCCAAGCTGGGGTGTAGCCCAGGGCAGAGTGTGTGCTCAGGGTGTGCTAAGCCTGCTTCCATCCCCTGCACACACAGAGGACATGTGGGTGCAACAGGAGGTCCACAGAGCAAACTGTGATGAGCTTTCCCTGTGCTGTGGGTTTTACTAAGCCTCAGATCTAAAATGAACCCAAACCATAAAGACAAAACACTCATAAGCTTCCCACAGGTAGTGTTTCTCCACTACAAACCCTCCCATTTCTCTGCCACAAAAATACAGAAGTGCATGCACAACCTCACAGCCAGATCAGCTTCTAATCATGGAGCGTAATAACCTCTCAGTCGGCTTCTTGGACCTTCATGGGAAAAACTCCACTCAGCCTGAAAAACAAAAAAAATCAGCAGCTGAAATTAGTTCATCAGAGACTGATTGAGGAGAACATGAGTCACTTCCATCCCAGCCTCTTCCACTCAAATTGCAAATTCATTTTCCAGCAATCCTCTGCCTGCTTTCGGTGGTTTCCCAGGCCTGGTGAAGGTCAGGGCTTACACTGGGATGGAGCACACATTCCGGGAGTCTGCAGAGCCGTCTGTCCCCAGGATGTGCCTGCAACCCAGCTGAGGGCTGGCTGCAGGGCCTGCTGTGGGGTGGTCCTCATGGCTTCCTTAAATCTCACACTGCCAGCAGGTGAATTCCTAACTGTTCACAGGCCTGCTTTAAAGAATGGAAATAGAGCTGAGATGGGCTCGCCGTGGAGATGGGATGAGTCACCTTAGACAGCCCAGGGCTGTGAATCAGAGCTCCAGGCTGGGGCATGGGCAGTGCCGCCTGGGTACCTGGTGCCTGCAGCCACACAGGAACCGAGCTTCCTGTGCATTAGGGATTTCTCTTAGGCAAAAACACTTCCTTCAAGGTTAGCTAAGCCCCAGGAAGTGAGAAGTGGAAAATCAGACCTGTTGGTGACACAGTGTTCCTGCAAGACTTGCACAATCCTGTAAACTGTGAATCTGAATCGGAAAAGCACTGCAGCCGCAGAGTGGCCTCAGCCTTCCCTTTCAGCAGTGTCTCAGCTTCTCAGGTCCTCTGAATCCTGAGCAGAGTCCCAGGACTCAAGGGCTGAGCTCTGCATGTCCCTGTGGGTCCCAGAATTGGAATCAGCCCGGAAAGCCCTTGCCCTGCATGCTAAGGATACTCCCAACCTCCATTGTGCTCATTCCCTAGCAGCAGAAGCTAAGTCTAGCCTATCACTCCTGAACCTGGGGTGCTCCTAGTGTGCTCCCATGAAGCGAGCCTCAAGTCATAAGGAGGCCCGAGTGACATGGGCCATGGGTGTCAGCACAGGTGGGAGCTTAGGGACTGGGCAGACAGCACTTGGCCCACCAAGGGCTTCGAGTCCCTTACCTATGTCCATCCTGCTGAAACCTCATATTGCTATCTCTTTGTATTTTCAGGAGGCTTTAAATGCTGCTAAGCTACATAACTTGAAACTCTTCTGAAGCCAAGCACCTGTGTGTGCAAAGGGTTCTCTAAAGGTACAGCTGAGGGCACAGGGAAAGGAGTACCCTGAGGATTAAAGTGAAGGAGGGACAAGAAGCAGAGTCCCAAAGCCAAATGGATCCTGATGAGGCCTTGGGGCATGGGTAGCCTTGGGGAACAAGCCTTGGCTTTAGTGGCTGCCTAGAGGGAGGAAATGAGGCCCTAAAGGGGATGTAGAGCTGAGACCCCACAGGAATATGGTATGGTACCTCAAAGTCACCACGCCAGTGGAAATGCCAGTTAGAATCTCTGTGCCTGCATGCAGCAAGGGAAAATGGGTAGTCTGCTTGGCCTGGCATTGGGGAAAGTGCTGGAAACTCTACCCTATGTGGGTCTGGGGTCTGGAAGTTTTGTATCTGCAGTCGAAAACCCCAATGCTGTGGAACTGATTAAAAGTGTCAAGTGAATGATTTCTAGAGGTACCTCATGGCAGGAAATCCTCAACAATGATTTTCAATCAAAGTTCCACTGAGGAGGGTCACAATCCAAAATTAGAAAGTGCCAAGAAGCAGCCCACTCTGAGCCCATCTCAACAGATGGAGGAGCTCCCACGCATTCAGATAAGGGATAAAAGGAGTCTGTGACGAATTCAGGGCATAGAAGGAACTCAGTCCAAGTGGGTAAAAATACAATATCAAGAATCAAGGCAAATTGGAATTTCCTCAAATAAAAACTGAAAAGTAAAAGTAAAATATGGTGATGAATTAATAAGCAAACAGAATGTTTGAGGAGGGACTCACTGGACCAGACACAGAACTGAAGACAGCAGGGCAGACTCAGCATAAGACAGGACATGAGGATGTGGTGGATGGAAGATGGAGAGGAGAATGTCCCTCAGACAGCTAACAAGAATTCCAGTAAGAAGATGGAATCCAAAGAGAGGGGAGGACAGTGCACATGGGGAGAGGTGATGTTTGGAGGGTTCGGAGTGTGTCAGAACTGACAGAAGCTGTGAACTTGCAGGCTTAGATGCACAGGGCTGCTGACAAGGGGAAGCTACCCCACACCTCTGTGTCCTACAGAGACCACACAAAGACAAAACTGCAGTCTGAACCGAGGAAAAAGTTAGATTTCCCACAGGAAAAAGAAAACTAAGAGCAGATTTCTCAACAACAGAAACCATAATAAAATAAAAAAAGTAATTTCATAGTTGCTGGGAAACACTTTCAACCTGGAATTTTATACCTAGTTAAACTCTCACGTGCAGATGAGAACAAAAGGCTTTTGTGCAAAGCCTCAGAGAATGAGCCACTACCAGACCTTCATGAAAGGGCTGCTAAAGGATGTCCTCCAGACAAAAGGAAATTGATTGAAGAAAGTAAATATGACACAGTGTGGAAAGCAAGAGAAGAACATGGGTGATCTTCTGTAAGCATTGATTATAGAAAAAAGCAGCAATAATGATAGCAAAGGGATGAATTCTAGGGGAACAAATGCAAGGAGGAGTAGAAATATGACCAATGATATAAGAAAGGATTATAAGACCCCGGTTAAGGAGAAGGGTGAAGGCAGTGTCAACTCTGGAATTTACATAATAAGGAATTCACATTAAATTTTTAAGAGTGGAATCTGGTGATATAAATAAAATGCCTTCTAAATAAGTGGAGGGAGAAAAGAAGAATAAAACAGTTCAAGAGAAATCAAAGCTCCATTATTTTATAACAATAAATAATTGAAACACACACATATACCAACATACATGTGTGTGTGCTGACTGTTTCCAGAGCCTAAATAAAACATGCCCACCCTGGTGTGTCCTCAATCTCGAATGCCAGGTGACTGTTCAGGGACCCGGGGGTATCACACAGAATACAGTGCTCACTCCATGTACACACGGGTTGTGACCTCCTCATGGATTTCGTGTTTGGCCTTTTCTCCACGTTGCTCTTGGAATCACTGAGCACGGCCCACAGGAGGAGCGCTGTCTCCCTGACCTAGCCATGACACTCTGTCTGGACCCAGCCCCAGCCTCTCCCTGGACTTCCTCTGCCTCCCCTCCTCATGACTGTTCTGGGCTGAGCTGCAGGGAGGTGGAGTGGGTGCTGGTGAAATTTCATCTTTTTAAAAATCATTTTGAAGAACTATATTTATTTCATTTCCAATTCCTAGTCTTGTTTTAACTTTGCATGCTCATTTGAATTTTATTTTTGCTTTAACGTACAGTCTTTAACTTCCAGGCTTTCCTTTTAATTTTGCTGGCTCTAGGCTGCTGTTTGTTCATTTCAACATTTATTTTAAATCTCTTATTTCACCCACCTTTTTCTTCACAGGAGCTTTTAAATGGTCTGACATTTAAATATTATCCCCTTCGATATTAATTTTCCACCTACCCCATTGTTCACATTTCATGCTAATCTCTTGCCCTTTTCACCTCTGTTCCTGTGTCTTATCCCCTTCTTTTTTTGTCGTTGGTTTTGCTCTGCTGAGCCTGTTCCATGCCCCGGGAGTTCCGATGTTTCTTCAGTTCTGCCTGCAGGTCGCCCTGGATCCTGGCTCTTCTGTGTCTGCTGAAGGTGCTCCGCACAGGAACATGGAGCCTGGTTGGGGGAGCAGTGTGCCCCACCCTGGGATCCTTCAAGCCTCTTTGGATGCAAGCTCCTTGGGCAAGAGCCATGGATTCTGGGGAATTGGTGCCCATAGAGTGTCCCAGCCAGGGGAACCAGATGCCACAGCAGGTCCCTGCTGCCCATTTCCACCTGAACATGGCAGAGAAGCCTGTGGTCCCTGCTGCTCAATCTCTTTATAAAAACCAATGCCCTTGCTTCTACTGCAGGTGTGCGACATGATGCTACAAGGTGAATAGAGCTAAGAAGGTGAGCATTATTGTGGACTGGATTAACACCTCTGCCATTTCATGTAACCACCCATCCTCCTCCTCCCTTCGGCAACAGCACTCCCATCTACAAGTTTATCCCAAACTCTGAATGCACTGCACCATCGTTGCTTTTTCATCTTGTGGTCTGGGAACTGAGAATCAAATCTGGGGCCTTCATGCTCGGAGCCGAGGGCTTGCCCACTGAGCTGCATCCCCAACCCTGAATCCTTGGTTTATTTATTTGGTGCTTGGGATTGGACTCAGTGTCTTCACACTGGGCTACTTCCCGAGTATATATTTTTTCTTTAAGACAGGGTCTTGCTAAGTTGCCCAAGTTGGGCTTACACTTGTGATCCTCCTGCCTTAGCCTCCCACAGGGCAAGGATTTCAGACATGTACCCCTACACCTGGCTCTGATGGCCTTTTCACTGAATGGCCATGGTTTGTCAGCCTTTTGGGATAAATAAAACTGGGTCTTCCATAAAAACTGTACCTCAGACTATGACAGACAGGCCTTGCTCTTGAACCATGTTTGTTCATATGCAGTTTTGTTACCCACTCTGCTTTTGCCTTATAGAAGATCAAAACACCATGTGCTCTGATGTTAAAACATAATAAAATTAATTTGCATAGGTTAATTCAGAACATTCTTTTGTTGGGGTGCTGGGATTGAACCCAGAGAGTCTGAGATACATCCTTCTTCCCTTCTTATAATTCCATTTTGAGTTAAGGACTGGAAAAATTGCTCAGGCTGGCTTGAATTTACTGTCCTCCTGACTCAGCCTCCCAGAGTGCTGAGATTACTGGTGTGTGCCACCATGTGGTTGGGAACAGCTTTTATTCTTTGCACTCTGTTATGATTTGGGTCTAGATGTCGCCTCAAAGCCTCATGCGGTCATAGGTGGCTGAATCTAGTGTGTGATACTAGGATTAAGGGTGTGTGGTTACTAAACCACTACACATGAGTGATTGGTTTGGCACCGCCTGAATCCTGGTAGTCTGAATAAGATAAAAGGGGCAGAAAGGCAC